GGCCGGGTCTCCGATGCTGGACTTCTGCTCGGGGAAACGTGCGCGTGCGACCTGGGTAAGGAGCTGGGGTTTTCTGTTATTTCGTGGGTTTGTTTTCGTCCTGACACGGACCCGAGAACTTTTTTTCCTTTTCTTTTTCGCTGACGTCGTCGCCGTAAGAACCAAGAAAGGCTCCTTCGGCCTCGGCGCGCCGGGTACTGTCAAGCCTTCGCGGGGCTTTTTCCTGATGAATCATTAACCCTTTCCGTTCTAGACATAATCGCCGCTGCCCTGAAATTTCAGTAGTGGTTCCTGTTCTCCCCCGTCAGAGTAACTAACGATTCCGGGTGGGCTTGGGTTTTCATTTCTTTTTTTTTCTAATTTTGACATGGATTGGGCATCACGACGCTGCAGGTTGGAACTGGATTTAAAAAAAGAAACCAGCAAGTTTGTCTCCCTCGTCACTGAGGGAAAGACGACTTTGCATTCGACCCTCCGAGCCCTTTTTTTTCCTTTTCCTTTCAAAAAATAAAAAACAAAAAGGGCATCCCGCTTAGACATGTGGAAGAATGTCAAAACCCACTTCGAAGGGCTTCCATAGCGGGTTGTGTTTACATTTTAGTAGTTACGCGTTCTCACATGGGGATGTTCCTCATATTCCTAATTTTGATCTAATAGGTCCATGCGGGAAAACCTTGCAGACGTTGTTTACCTTTTTTTTTTTTTTTTTGGCCCTTGGAAGACACTTTCGGAGCGAGAGGGAGGATTTTCAGGAAGATCCTTATCAATTTCCAAGTGGAAGCAGCGCCAGCCCTCCCTGGCTTGTGGATTTGTTAAAAGTTTAGTTACAGTAAGCTGGAGCACATCCGTGGCTTCTGGGAATTTGTACACTTTCAGACTTAAATGGAAAGTGCTATTTGTAGCTGAAGGCTCCTACAGGAATTCTCTCCAAGGAATCGTACTAAACAGTTTTGCGTTTTGCGTTTGCTTATTCGATTTGGTGGGGGATGCCCAGAAGACACTTAGGGGCGCCCTCCCCTTCACCCACGGTCCCCCCTCTTTTCCCGCGGTCCTAGTGATTTCTGAGAGGCTGTCGCTCCGTGATGCTGGCAGGATGCACACCCCTTCCAGCTTCCCTTGCCAGGGGATAAAGGCAGAGAGGGGGAGGCCCTTGTTTTGAAAGTTGTTTTGCGTTGGGAGCTGGTGGGAAAGTTCAGTCTTCCCCATTTGGAAAAGGCAGGCTGGGTTCCGCTCCTGCACCACACGCGCTTTCCATTTTTAGCTTCATTCAGAGGCAGACAGAGCTCCTTCCTCTTCCTCTCCTTGTTTGTGACACTCTTCTGAGGCAGCTTTTCCACAGTGCTGAGGGTCTGGCGGCCATGACCCCAGGCGTTCTGGGCCCAGGACTGAGCGCCCACAACATTTTTCTGCCGTGAGAGGTAAAGCCAGGGATTGTTCAGAGGTGGCTCTTTTTTTTTTTTCTCTCTCTCTTCCCCCAACCCCCATGAGGTTGCCACATTCTTCATTCTTCTTCTTTTTCAAACTAAGAGTAGCATTTAAAAACTTGCTTCTTCAAGGCAATTGACTTTATACGGCTTTTTGGTTCTTACTCAACTGTGTACCAAGCGCCTTGCATCTGCTTTTCAAGTCTTCAGACTGCTGGATTAGTCATAGCCACAGGAACGGCAGGACAATGGGGATTAAAGGCCTTTCCCTTCTCTTCCAGGCTGCCCCCAAGTGTGACTCCAGTGCTGTGAGGTTTCGAGGATTGGCAGAGGGGACCCAGGGGACCATGAAAATGGACATGGAAGACGCTGATATGACTCTGTGGACAGAGGCTGAGTTTGAAGAGAAGTGTACATACATTGTGAACGACCACCCCTGGGATGCTGGCGCTGATGGTGGGGCCTCTGTCCAGGCTGAGGCGTCCTTACCAAGGAATCTGCTTTTCAAATATGCCACCAACAGCAAAGAGGTAAGCCTCTGGTTTATTGCCAAAGAAGATTGGCACCTGGCGCCCACTCTCCCTTCTTGCCCTTGAGGCCTCATGTATCTGAAAATCTCCAAGAATCTGTAAGTACCGGTATCGGCCCATTCACGTCTTTCATGGCTTTCTCTTGCCCTAAATAAGTTCCCTCTCATTTCCTCCAGCTTTCAACTGTTCCATACTAATTAGTAAACAGTTAAATCTTTTGGCAAACTGACTGAGTCTCGCAAAAGCCACCTTGCAGCATGGGGTGGGTGAAATTGTAACATGGGGTGGGTGAAATTGTCCATGAGCTTCGAGAAAACTCTGAACCCACTGGCCCTAGTCCCCAGAAGAACAGTTTCTTTGGAGGGAGAATCTTTTTCTCAGAAAAAAAAGTTTTTAATGTTTCTTTTGACTCCCTTTGGTAATTAGATGGCTTTCTTCTCTTTAACGAGCCAGCTTTATTAGCTGGGTTTCTAAAATTATTCTCAAAACCGTGACGTGTTCATGAACCAAAGTGATGGTATAAGCCGAGAAGAGGGTCATGTAAACGTGTCCTCTCTCCAGATGACTTCAGAGCTAAGCCTTGTGTCTGCGGCAGATCCTTTGCTCTGGCTGGGCTTCCTAGCCAATTCCGACTTGTCTCTGAAGTGGGTATGCTCTTTGTTGTTTCAAAGGAGCTGAAAACCCAAACTTGGAATGAGCCACTGATTTGTGTTTACCCTTCTATATAAAGATTATAGCTAGGTGTGATGTTTAGCTGTGAAAAACTTACAGAACCACATCTTGTTTTGAGAATTTGGCTCACTGTGGTTGCTCTAGACTACTGCTGGGTTGAGTTGAGTGGATCAGTGGTCACCACTGTCATTCCCACCGATCCCTGTCAATCCTGTTCCTGCCTTCAGAAAGTAGTGTAAAGGTGGTCACTGGCTGTAGGAATCCAGAATTTGCTACTGGAACTATTCATTACAGCCATGTCAAAATCACTTTCCCCCTTCCCTAAGGAACAGTATTTGAAGGAATCTGGGAGCCTGTTTGGGAAACACTTCGTCTCTTTCCTGTTTGTGTGTCTGAGTCCAATGTTTTTGGTGGGTGGGGGGAGACACAGCTGTCTAAAATTAAATAGAACAACTCTCTGTTCAGTCTGTTTCCCCACTGCTGGGAGAATGGAGGCCGATTTTATTAAAAAGCAAAATGTAAAATTGTAGTTGTATGTGAACATTGGCAAAAAAAAAATCTTACCCCAGAAGTGGGCCTTAATTCTACTCCTTTCTGAAAGTGATGCTCTTTTTAAGAGAAAGTCTTCTTATAGGTGGCCCTGGGAATAAAGATCTCTATTCTGTGAGTCGTCTTTGCCTTTTAATTCTATAATGTTCTTATCCTCAGTTCAGCTCTTAGCTTAAGTTTTTCAATTTCCGCCATTCTACTTAAAATCATAGCTAAGTCAAGTAATGCTCTTAATCATGTTCAAGGTTCAGACAGATAGTCACTTACTCAAAGGCATATGTGTAAAGCCAGACAGACCTGGAACTTGGAGCAAAGTTCTTCTAACTTCTCCAATAAGTGCTTCTGGATTATGCTACACTGGCCCCTCTTGGTGTCACTGTGGTTTTATTTATCATCTTAACATATTTCAGGCCGATCCTTTATTTTTATCTGAGTACATAACTCATTATTACAGTATGTTAAGCAATTTAAAAAGGCAGTACCTATGTTTCTGAAGAGGGTCCTTCAAAACTAACCTGGAAGGTCAGGGTTCACTTATTCTGTTTCCTCATATTTTGCTTCAATGAGACACTTGAATAGGAGACCTCTCCCGTCCCTAATCTTGTAAGAGCAACCAAGAAGTAAACATGAGTGTCATACTGTCTTAAGCTTACTCTGGAATTTGTACCTGTTTTTCTGTTTCTCTCTTTTGTTTTTGAACTTTGGGAAGGGACAGCTCCCTTGAGGGGGTGAAAGAGGATAGTGAAATTGAGCTCTTGAGGGCGTGATAGCTGCAAACCAGTTCCAGGACAGAAGCCTTTAGGATTGATGAATTGTTTACATTATCATTTTAAGTTCCGTGAGCCGTTGAAATAGGAAAAAAGCCTTTCTATGGGTAGTTTTTATCTGATTGATTTATCATGCCGTTCTTTAAATGTTTTCATTTAAATAGAAGATGTTACATTATGTTCTGATGTGCTGACATACTGGGAAATTTTTTTTAAACAAGACTATTTCACTATGAATGTGTGCTGTGTGTCAGCACCTTTCTGTTTTTTGGTTTTAAAACAAAACATACAAACCATATTTCTGATCTTGATCCTCATTTATAGATTGGGTTTAGAATCATTCTGCACCTTTGATGAGGCTGTTCTTACTTCCTATTTCCAGAACTAAAACCAAATATAGACATACTATTCAAAACTCTGAAAGCTTTTTAAACTGATGGGTTATTCTTTTATGGGGATTTTCCCCTTGTCCTCCTGAAGTAATCTTTTATGACTACCTGACTACAGAAAAATCGATTTGAACATTTATAGCTTAGAAGCAGTTGCCTATAGAGTTTTGCCCTCAGCAAAGAGGCTGCCTCCACTAAAGAGGCACTGGGGCTGAATCTGACTGTCCAAAGTCGTGTGCTGTCACGCTGATGGTGGGGGCACCATTCAGTGTTCATTTTGGTGGAAGTTCATTATTAACCCAAGCCATCTATAAGAAGTATCTCACCATAACATGCAATTCCCTCTTCATACTGCCTTTTACTTGGGAGTTGATGTGTACCAAGGCACGACCATGTTTTCTTTCTTGTAAAGATAACAAAGGAGGAAACCTTTCCAAAACACCTTCGGTGACTCCACTCTTCTTAGAAATGGAGTGGATTACTAGCTGAAGGACTTGGTCCACTACTGAATTCTAGTCCTCTCCATGCAAATATTCTGAGAGTCAAGACAGAATTTTTTAAATCAAATAAGTCGTTCCTTTAGGGTGGGATGGGGGAGAGAGAAGAGATAGCTAGTCATTTAAATGACCTTAATGTCATCTGGGGGGAAGGTGCTAAGATCACAGTTAGATCTGAAAATTGTTTCTGCTTAGGGTTCCTGATCTCAACAGGCAAAGTGGGGACCCATGGGAGGCCCAAACTTTACCTTTCTGGTGACCACTTGTATACCTAATCCTGAATCGTACCTCACACCTTTAAAATAAAAAATTTTTTTTAAAGAAAAATTTTTCTGCTTAAAACCCACTGCTGTGTGTGTAGGTATGCTTGCATACTCTCTAAAGATGAAAGTTGCTTTAAAACAACAACAAAAAAGCGAAATCTACATTGTCCTTGCTATCAGGCTATTACTTAACACTCAACTCAATCTATCTTAAGCTGTAAAATCTCCTTCACTTTGTAAAATAAAAAAGAAGTCTTGTGTTTTTTCTGGAAGTCATGAAGTTTGTGTGTGTTTTATAACTGAGACTACTGACAGAGCCAAATCTGCCCAAGTGGTGAAGGGGTCCACACTGCACAGAAAAGGGCCTCTGAGGGAACAGAGGAAGCAGAGAAGTCCTGACGCCCCGCATCCTCTCACGGGTGGCTTTATAGAAGACACACGGCAGTCCATCACCCGCAGTAATTGTTTAGGACCCTGGTCAGTTCCAGTGAAGTTTCCTTCCTGAGTGAGGTGAACACATTCTTAATGAGTTTTTTTAACACTGAAGAACAAGGCACACATCAGAATCCTCTGTAACATTTGCTTGCTTCAAGGATAGAATGTTGTATATGATGGGTCGCGGAGACAGCCTTGGGGAAGCTACACGTCTGGGTCCTAGAGGAAGAACTATGACTTGTTTTTCACTTCCTGCTAAACACAATTCTGGTTCCTATTATCCCTGCAGAGTGACCTGGACAAGTACAAGTACCATAATCTTAGAATTTTAGCTTTACATCCTCTTTGAAAAATGTCTCAGGCATGAATTTGAGTTGAACGTGTTATTGTGTATGAGAACACCAGACTTGGATTGAATATAGGGGGTTTGTAAGTCATAGGACTCCTTCCAATTTGGAAATTCTATAATTTTGTGTCTTTATAGGTATGGGTTTTAGATCTGTATCAAAGAGCAATTTAAAATACTAGGCTCTAATATTAAAGCCTTTTTAATTTGACTAGGGCTTGAGGATTTTCACAGATCTCTCTTCTACCACAAATAATCTTTTTTATGGTTCTCATGTCTTGCATGTAGAATTGCATTTGTAAGACCAGAGATGGCAGGAGCTCCTTCTAATACTGCTTTATATCTTGCTGGTGACTAGTTAATAGCTATGCTTAAATAGGTGTTGGGTGGCTTAGGCCTTTCCTAAATTCCTTTGTAGGAACAAGATTCTACTTGACTTCTTTTTGGCCACAAGAAAATGTTGTGTATTTTCTTGGTGTGAGATTGAGAGCTGAAAATCAAGAGGCCCATTCTGTAAAAGAATGGCAATTTGGAAGAAAAGCCGTGACCTCAATGTAGTGCTACTTGTTGGTAATCAAGCTCTGACTCCCAAGACACTGTCTGCAGGAGACTATAATTTAAAACAAAGTTGATGAACCAGTTGAGTGCCTTTCTTAAAATTACTGCTGTAAAATGGATATGTTGAAAATATCAACTGCTAATTATCAACTCACCAACAAATGGAATTATTTGTTTTTCCTGTTTGTCATTCTATTATCATTGAGTATGAATGTCAAATTATTTGTGTGGCATAGAAGTCAATTCCATGAATTTTCCAAATTAATTAGTTCCAATAATATGTCCAAAACAATGAGCCTCTGAATAAATAAGTCTCCTTAAGTTTTAGGCATATCTTTTTTATCTCAAGACTGCTCTGAGATACTCTTGTCTCCACTAGCTGTGCTGCCAACAAATACCGATAATGTTGAACCATGATTAAAGGGCAGATAGATGTAAACAAAGGCAGAGGAGAAGGATGAAATGAACATCTGCTTTTTTCAGCTCTCTAACAGAAAATCATAAAGCACCAAAAATAACACTCTTGTTTCAAGTGTGTTAGGTGTAGGAAAATTTTATTTTTCTCTCTTTCCAGTCTGAGTATGCTCTACTGAATACTAAATTGTTTTAGAAAAAAAAAAATCATTGACTGATAAGAAACTTACATGAGAGAATGGTCTGTCATAACCATGTAGGTGTGCTTATTCTATAACCATTTAAACATTGAAAATTCTTAATGAGATTTAATGAGGAACTGCTGAATATTATCACCAAAATCTTAGATTCCACTGTAGACATTTATTGGGTCATATTTGGGCCTACCATTTCAGGTATACACTTATACAGGAGCCATCAGGGAAAATAAAAACTGGAAATGAAATACTATTATTATTATGTTTTTCTTTTTTAAAAAATAGTTGTTATTTACTTTTAGAGACAAGGTCTCGCTGTGTTGCTCAGGCTGGTCTTGAACCTGGGCTCAAGTGATTCTCTTGCCTCGAATTCCCAAAGTGCTGGGATTACAGATGTGAGCCACCACACCCAGCAGAAAATAAATAGTATTATCTTTAACCCCTTGGGTCTGCCTTAGTAAGTGATTTGTAGGCTGTTTTGAACAAGAAGAAAATAGGAAAGTGAGAAAAAAATCAAAGCCAAACTGTAACAGCAAAATGTTGTAAAGGATTGCTCACGGGGGGAGTTCTGTTGAATAGTGACGCACCGCTTCCTGATTCATGGTTGGCAATTTTTAAAAACTATCCTCAAAAAAAGAAATTTGTGATTAAAGAGGAACTGGCATCATTCACGTGTTCCTTTAGCATGGCCCTACAAAATCAAAACGTGTGATGCGTCCAGTCTGAGAAAGTAATTTCCTCAGATCTTAGAACCCACAGTCGCCCTTGGTGTAAATGCCGTTTCAAAGGAGGACTTTTGACTACTGTCACGTAGAAGATGCTAGAGAAGAACAAAGTTACTTGAAAGATCTTTTTTCTATTAAAGAGAACTTAACAAGCTATGAAGAAAAAATAAAAAAGAAAGCCTCATCTGGGATGAAAAAAAAGCATAATGAACTTGGTTTCTGGTTTCCTAGGCCATTGTGGAACAACCAAAGAGCATTATTTTGGTTTCTGAGGTTAAAACTGTTTTATTCCCCTCAAGCACACAGTGTTTATGGTTTGAGGGAGAATAAGAAACTAGGAATAGGCTGAAATGGTCAAATCTAGACCATCTAATTCTGCTGTATCTTATTCTCATTCTAAAACTGAATAATTGTTCTCTCTTCTAGCATGAAAAGGAATGATAGAAATAAAGGATCCTCCATTACTGCAGAATAATCCTGTAGTCTGTTTTAGTGTTTGGTTAAGTATTTGCTTATGATCTCAGACTTTATGAGATGGTCTTTCCCTGTGATGAAGCTTGTTGTTCATGACGTAGACACCATCAATATCTGTTCTCCTTATCAAAATTTTATCACTGTTGGTTGTATTACCACTTGACAATTCACTTCATTGAAATAAAAAGACTGGTTAACATTGTACAGTTAGAGTAATTGTTTCTTCTGTTTCACCCTCTTTAGGTTATCGGAGTGGTGAGCAAAGAGTACATACCGAAGGGAACACGTTTTGGACCTCTCATAGGTGAAATCTATACCAACGATACAGTTCCCAAAAATGCCAACAGGAAATATTTTTGGCGGGTAAGTAAGGAAAAATTTTCCAGGCTCATTAAGTATTGGAAATAATGGCGGTAGAAGGGCTGGGTCACTTCCTTTTTTAATCTGGGCTGAGAAATGCGGGGGCTTCCCCACAAGTATCTAGGGTCCCCATGGATCTTGGGAACTCTGAGCAGATAGCATGAAACTAGTGAAACGTTTGGCCCTGGAAATACAGTCCCATCAGGTGGTTAGTGATGAAAACATGGACTCTATGTGAATCTTGATTTTTGCAACTCATTAGAGATTTGTGATGAAAGGAAACAGTTTGCTACTTGCTTCAAGGGTAAGTTCATTTGCATTTCTCTACAAGGAAGTAGTAATGAGTCACCAAGCCTTAGATTTCACCCCTTTCTTGATTTCTTGCTGAGTTAACTTTAATTGAATGGAAGAGTTATCACAGTGAATTATCTTGAAAGTCAATGCCATTAAGGAAGGATGAGTGGAAGCCGGGACTGGGGACCTGGAGGGAGGGCCACACCTGGAGGGAGGGTCACAGGACTTTTCCTATTTAAATGCACGTGCACCTTAAACTGACTTCATCTGATGGTGTATAAATTATCCCATAGCATAAGGAAGATGCTTACAGTCACGTGAGGTGATGAGCCTTCCTGTACATTAGCCTAAAGATCTGGTCAATACAATATCAGGATGAGAAAGGACCCCGGAGAGGAAATAATTAGGTGGAATTCTTGAGTCAAAGACTCTGGATTAGGAGTAAACGGAGAAAAATCAGACTGTTTGCCTTCCTTCCATAGATGTCTCCAGGATGTTCAGTTTTAAAGATACTCTTACTTAAATTTAGTAAGCCTTTGTATACATACTTATGTAAAGCGTATATTATTTTAATTCTTTTTAAGAAAGCAGCTGCTGCATGGTAGCAAAAATTGGATTATGCTTGCTGTAGCTGGTGTTTTTGCCCAGAATATTTGTATCTTTTGGACAAACTCGATTTTTGTTCGTGAGTTGCTCAGAAGCTATTCCTAAGAAACATTTTTTTAAATCCAGGAAGTTTCGTGTTTTTAGAAATTTATTTTACTATTTCCTAAGCAAAAGAGCAAAGTTATAGATTCACTAAGAATTGCGTGCTCTTGATTTTTATTTAATAATTACTCATGGCCCAGGTCTGTCATCCCAGCACTGTGGGAGACCGAGACAGGAGGATTGCTTGAGCTCAGAGGTTCAAGACCAGTCTGAGCAACATAGATATGGTAGAGACCATATCTCTACCAAAAAAAAATACATAAAAAATAAATTACTCATGCTTAAAACATCATCACGTGATTTACAATGGAGGAACTGTGAGGTCATTTTTGCCTTTATTGTCCAAAAAAGTCGTAGAAATGAGCCAGAAGTGAGTAATTCTTAGGGGTCAAAGTTCTGAATTAAGACAATCCAGCATAAGCCTCATTAATGTATGGTCATTTTGGGAAAAGGACAAGAAACACCTAAGAATCTCCCTTCCCTGTTCCAGTTCCCTGTTTCATTTAAAGATTCACTCTAACTGAGGATTTATCTCAATCAGTCTTTCCCATGCAAAGGATACTGTAGGAGATACTGTCCCACTTGTCGCTAAAAGCACTCTGGTTCTGCTGGAAGGAATAGGCGCATCTGTTGTAGGGAAAGAAAAAGTTTCATGCAAATGACACAGTCAAAGAAGAGAAGGGATGTTCCAGTTGAGAAACCAGTGACATTTCTTGTAACTGTATTGTGAGTCAGCACATTCTGAATCTTCTTGACAATGGTTGGAAGTAGAAGAAGGTGCTAGGGCACCGGGCTCATGTTACACACGCATCGTTTTATTTTTCTCGTGTGTGCGGGCAAGTGACTTCATGGCATCGGCATCTCTGTTTTTAAATGAGGATACAGTACCATAGTCCATGGAAGGCTGCCTGGAATCCACACACCGGTAGCTTTAGAAAGCAGTTTCCGCCCCAGCGAAGGCTGCAAGAGCGCTGGAACCCCATGTTCCTGGAAGTTTGCACATCAGAGTAAACAAACTTGAAAACCCCTCTTGATAGCAGAATTCACCAGCCTTGTTCCATTTTCTCTTAACAAAACACACCGCAAAAGCTCTCACAAGCTGCTTTGATGAAGCCACATGTATTTCCCCCTTCACAATTTACAGGAAGTTACTCTTAAAAGAAAGTGATTCTGGTGTTTACTGCCTGTGTTAAAGGGACAGAGTTCCTTTTTATTTCTGATAACGTCTGCATGAAATACAGAAACGATGTGTAGATGAACGTAGTCAGTGTGTGAGTAGGAATAAAACAGGAAGCTGCTGACCTGTTAGAACTTTGTGCTACAAACCAGTGCTGTCCTGCCTGGAGGCAACAAGTTGCAGATCACCAGGTATTGATTGCATATGGATAAGGATATTTCTTCAAGGCTGAAGAAAAGGTGGCACCTCTTAAGAAGAGGGAGAGAGAGAAGCTTGCTGGGGAAGGATTAGGAATTGTTGACAAGGTAGTTCCAGTAAGAGTATAGGTTTCCATTTTCCGTCTTACCTCTGCCTTTTTACCAAGTGGCCATCTTGCTTTTTAGCTAGAAGTAATGTCAACCCCCGACAGACTTGGAACTCCTCATTTTGCCTTGCCTATCTATGCCTTACCTTTAGGGAACGACTTTCTTCCTGTTCTTTTTTCCAAAAATGCACACCTGTAGCTCTATGTGCGCCGTCTCAGCCAACCCTCTCCTAGATAAAGGGGTTCCCTCTTCCCTCCTTTGAAGAACAGCTCAAGGCTGAACATGTTTATCAAGAGGAAAAGTGACTTCTTGGTGGACTGTCAAGTTCTGGCTACTGTCCCGGTGCTCACTTTGTTATGGCAGGTGAAGTTCACCTCTGCCCCACCCAGTGTTTCCACAAAAAGGCAAGGTTCCACGTATGCATATGAACGAGTGTGACTTTAGGACTTGGAGGGTGGAGGTGGAGGATGTTTGCCTAGTTGAAGCCTTGGGCGGGGGTGTTGGAAACAGCAAGTACAGAGGCCATAGAAAAAATTGAGACTCAGTTTGACGCAGTCGATTGGCCTGGTCTTCTACCCAGTGACTCAAAGCACTCAAAGTCAACATCATCAGAACTGGAGTCAGGAGCAGGGCCCATGTGTCACTTACTGCTGTGGCAAAAGTAGCACTTGGTGGTGGTTTCATCAGTTGGAGACAGCTCCTAAAATGATCCTTTGTGTTTCATGCTTTTGTTATTTTTCCCGACCATAAAAAGACGATAAAAACTGAAAGGGAAAAGAAAAGGTAACTGACAAAAGTGCGCCTTTGCTAGTTTCCGCCCTTATTTCTGCTGACTCAAGACGGCTCTGGTTACACTGACTTGATTCTTTTTCTAGCTAGGCAGTCCTGGCTGTTTATTCTGAGAGGTACCAGGGAAGCTCTCCATTGCTCTGGGGCTGACTTCCTCTGACGGGCCCGTCTTTTCTCTTTTGCACAGATCTATTCCAGAGGGGAGCTTCACCACTTCATCGACGGCTTTAATGAAGAGAAAAGCAACTGGATGCGCTATGTAAACCCAGCGCACTCTGCCCGGGAGCAAAACCTGGCTGCGTGTCAGAACGGGATGAACGTTTACTTCTACACCATTAAGCCCATTCCCGCCAACCAGGAACTTCTTGTGTGGTATTGTCGGGACTTTGCAGAAAGGCTTCACTACCCTTATCCGGGAGAGCTGACAATGATGAATCTCAGTAAGTGGATTACAGAACAAAAAAATAAAAAATGCCAGTCATGTCGCTTCTGCCCCTGTGAGCTAATAACCAGTTGTTTAATTATATGGCTTCATCATCATCTGTTGGACCAAGTAGGTGGCTTAGACTAGGAACTCAGAAGAGGAAAAACATTATTATAGTTCGTATTCTTTCCTGTGAAACTTGATCACTTTAAAAAAAAAAGTACTAAAAAAAAAAAAAGAATGACTTTGGGCATTTAATTCAAGAAGAAATATGTCCTATGGTAATTTACCCAAAAGGAGGGCGTGTTTGGGAGTATTGTAGGGATTGGTCCATACATGCTGAGTATACAAGGGACTATCCTCTCGTTTGTGGTGCTTTGTGGGAGCTTCAAATGTGCATCGAAACATTGTATGGATGCACATTTGAATGTAAAGTTATGGTCTGATGTGGAACATTATAAGATTGTTGCTAGAAAAGCTGTCATAATTTTTCAAGTATTATTCTAAATGAATAACCCTAAAGATTTCATATCTTAGCTTCCTTCCTTATGGTAAAAAACTAAGTATCTGATCTGATCAGTATTACGGTAACCACCTATCACTTTATCTTAAGTTCTCAGTTTATTAGGTTTATGTGCTTTTACTTTTTTTAAAAATTGGGTCAAAATTACTGTCATGACCTCTCTCTGCAGTGGGTTACTTCATTTTAGTTGGTCTTCAAGTGATCTTTATTTGTGAGTTAAGAATTGCCCTAAAATTCTAATCTCTAATTCACAACTATGGTTGTGTGTTCTTGGTTAGGCTGCTAAACTTTGTGGCAATTTAAAATACAAGCTCCTTTGGGTTCAAAAGTTAAAACTTAAGTGCTGAAGTTTTTGTCATTTTGTGTTTTGAAGTCATTTAAAACTTAAGTACAAAAAATTCCCAGCCACCTGATACCTATATTCCCCAATTGTTGAAATGTTATCTGAAGGCTAAAGGGTTTTAGTTCACATTTTCACCTTTTGAGATATTTGGGGTAAATATCACTTTGAACATAAAACTGGAATTTTGACTTTAGTTTTGTTGGTTTTTTTTTTTTTTAAGATATGGAGTACAATTCAGGATTGGGTATACAGATGGTCAATCGTACAGGCAAAGTTTGGGTCTCCCTTTGGTCTCTCCTTTGCCTGGTTTGAGATCACATACCCTTATTGATGTTGTGCCCCCTCACCCCCTGACTTTAATTTTAGTACCAATTAACAGGCCAAGTACTTATCCGAGTCATACAACAGTATGGCTCTTTGGTATTCATTCCCCACTGCTAGTTAACTTATCTCTCTCTCTTCTAAGATCACAGGACTGTACTTGACTTTTTTTTTTAAATCAAGGAGCTGTAGGGTTTTTTTTTTAAATCAAGGGGCTGTAGGCTCAGCTACTTGGAAAGTTGAGGTGGAAGGACTGCCTGAGCCCAGCAGGTCGAGCCTGTGGTGGCCATGAGCGTGCCTCTGTACTCCAGCCTGGGTGACAGAGTGAGACTCCTACTCTCACTCTGGAGCTTTAAAAGGATCCCATAGAGTCACATTTGAAGGTTTGCGTTCATGGCCCTTACGCACACAATGCATCTTTGAGCTTTGGGAAGAGATCTTGGAATGTTTGGGAAAAAAACTGACTTCCAGTTTGAGCTTGATGAGTGCGATTAGGTTTTGACCAAAGACAGCAGTTGTCTTCTTCATATCTCTTCTGTGTTCCCTGAGACTCTGTCCTATCCCTGGGGCCAAGCATCCCAGGAGCCATTCGGTTGCTCTGGTATCTGTGTGTGCCCAGCCAGCTGGGTAGGGCCTGATTGGTAAAAGACACATGGAAAAGCACAGCTGAATTTTTGTGGAAATCATTTGAATAGGGATCTCATAGAAAGACTCTTGAAGGTCTCCCTACATTCCTTGAGTTTAATCCTTCATGGATTCAGAGAAAGTCTTTGATTTTCGTTTTTCTTTAAACAGTAATCCCATTTGAGGTGACCCACCCCAGTGAGTTTGCACCAACCACGAAGAAACTTTTGTGTATGCCTTCTACACCCTGTGTCAATCAAAGGTTTAGAGGCCTGGCATTTTTCTTCCCTGGCAAAAGGCTTCGCACAATATTTTAAAATTGAGTTGTTTCTACCTTGTATTTCATGCATACTGAGAAGTGACACCTTTGTTCCCTCAAATATCTCCTTTTATTTGTGCAGATTTTTTCTAAATGGTGGGTTACCATTTTCAAATGCCCTTCCATCGTCCAGTATCCGCAGTAAAGAATGAGAGTTAACAATAACCCGTCACATGAAGACAGGTCTCCTGTTGCTGATTGTGAAACCAGTTGTCTTAGGTGTGGCAGCTGATGATGATTGAGACTCCGATCAGGAAAATTTCCACTATTTCATCAGGCCTCATAGGTAGCTTGTGTCTCCAAATGAGTTGTGCTGAGTGCCTGTGCTTAATACTCTAGAAGTTCATGTGAGAATCCCTGTGAGGGCTTGAATGGCAGTGTTGGTTCAGTTGGTCGTTTTGAGGTGAAGGGATTTGAAACAAACAAGTAAAGAAAATAGCCAGGGTCACAACTTAACATTTTTCTAGAGACAAAAAATAAAAGAACTATTAAGTGAAGTCCCTACTCCTCCCAAACTGGGGGGTGTTTTTTTTCTATCTAACTAACCCATCTAGAAAACAGTTGACCAAATTATAGACTCCTAAATGTTAATCTGCTTTCTCAGTTTCAGTTGAAAACAGACTTTGTTTTGCCTACTGCACAACTTCTAGGTTCTTTCTTGTAGTCTTGGGGTTCTTATTATAGATCGAAAATGTGAGTCGGCATAATTAAGCCATTCAGAGCCTTCAGAAGCAGTTCACTCTTGAAATGACTCTGTCCGCCTACAGCCATGTAAAATTGAAGAACAAAAACAGATCTTGATTTTCTTTTTCATATTAACTCAAGCTGCTGCTTAGTGGGAGAGTCAGAAATGACACCAGCTCCACTGATTACTCAGCTGCTGAAGGATGATTTTTTAAAAATGAACCTGTGTGGTAGATAGACTTCATCATTTTCACCTGTCGAAGATCTTGGGCAGGCTAATGTTTTATTCTGGAAATGGCTATAGAATAAGATGTGAATCTGTTTTTCTGAAGGCATTAGAGAAGGCAAACATTTCTTGTAAATGTACTATGTCCTGGGCACTGTGCGAAGTGTTTTGCATAGAAAATGTAAAATTGTAACTTGTTTGTTGGCCCAATCATGAGTGTGATATCAGTTCAATGATCGAATTACATTAAGGTGATTAAGAAGGACACCTGGCTAGGGGAGCGGGGCAGTGCTGGAATGAACTTAAGCTTTTATGCTTATGACTTTAATTTGTTGAACTATAGAACCAAGGAAGTCTTGAAGCTACTAGAGAAATTGTGAGACTTGGATGGAATTTGCCACAAAGTTACGATGGTAAAGTTTCTGTACTTTCATTTTATTCGTGTGACATCTTTTTAAGAGAGTCATTAACTGGAGCCTGTATGAGTACTTCCAAATCATTCTTTTTCACCTTCATAAAATTCCTTCCTGTAGCTGGGAGATTCCTTGCCTATCAGTTTTCCAGCTTAGCTGCCTTCCTAAGTTGTTTCTTCCTTTAGCATTTCAGCTTTAAAAAACAAAAGTGACAATTTGAACTTCCTGCCTGCTGGGCCTCACTGAAAGACTGATATTGGCTTGATAAGGAGATATTTATTTTGGTTTAGTGGCTTCAGAAATCCCTCTGCCTCAACAAGCTTTCCATCACTGCCTCCCATCAGCATCTTCCCTGATAGTGTTGTCCTCTGTGTTTATTCTGGGACTTCTGGCTCAACCGGGAGTAACTGATAACAGCTGGCAGGAGATAACATGCTCCCAGGGGCTCTCAAACTAGAATCAAATCCCTCAGGCCTGTCAGCCCAGAGAATGGAGTTGAAGGTTTCGGTTCTGGAGTTTCCCAGCGTTCATTTCTAGACCTATCAGATAGCAAGGCTGGGGTTCTTCCTCAAACCAAGTAGGGACATTTTTAAAACGACAAAGGATACGTGTAGGAAGGCTTCAGCAGGATCCCGCAGCCTGCTGCCTCCGAAGCCATCTCCATATGCCGATGGATGATGCCTTCATGTCCCCTAGGGAGGGTGTCCCAGCCCAAGCAATGGCCCTTTGGTAACCAGAGCTCAATCTGAACAGCCTACGTTTTACTTTTGGTTTCCAGGGAAGGCTGAGCCAGGAGTTTTCAGTTTGCCCTGCTCAGATAGGGATTTTCCTGAAGGCATCATTTGATGTGTGTGTGTGGGGGGGAAGACAGGGCTGTCAGTAGCAGGGACAATCTGGAACTGTCCTCATGGCTGCTGTTCCTAAATAGTGTCTTTACTAAGAAATGATATGCCGTCTTTGGGAATAAATGCTGTCCTCTGAGCCTCCTCTGTTTTCTTTGGTGTGCTGAGTAATTGAACTGGCTCTGGAAGTATCTGTTGTGGTTTGGCAGAGGTGACTGTCACGCCTTGCGATTCCAGGGCCAGTACTTGAAGGGAGCCTTGGTGAAATGCTCGTGCTGTCTGCAGCCTGGCGGGTGAGGGGTGACATCCGCACCATCATCTTGGCATAGGTGGTTAGAGCAGGGCTTTATCAAATCCCTGTTACACAGGAGTTGGGGTGAAAATTGATGACTGCTTATTACTTGAAATGAGTCTTAATCTTTCACATTTAGTCCGCAGGGTGTGCTGATTTCCTTTAGGTAAACCATGAACACCAGAATGACTTTTATTAACCTATGCCAACACCCACGCCCCAGTATTTTTCCGCCCCATTTTAATGGAAGCCCTCTCTCTTGTTCTACCTCGAGCAGCACTTTTCTCTCATAAAGTTTGTACTCATGGAAACAAAAACCATCCAAATGGTGCTGTTCATTCTGTCGATGCTGCCACTGTCCCCGTTTTGCTGAGGAGAAACGGGGCAGGACTCGGAGTGAGTGGCCCAGAGCCCTCCAGGAAGAGAGGGTGTGTTGGAAGCCAGATGTGTGGTGTTCATGTCACCAGCTGGCACTCAGGTTTTCTCCAGCAGAGGCAGCAGCTCTGGCAACGCGCTTCCGTTCTCTCTGGTCCTCTGAGTAATCATCCTTTCTTCTTGTTTTCAGCACAGACACAGAGCAATCCAAAGCAACCGAGCACTGAGAAAAATGAACTCTACCCAAAGAGTGTCCCAAAGAGAGAGTACAGCGTGAAAGAAATCCTGAAGCTGGACTCCGCCCCCTCCAAAGGAAAGGACTTCTACCGTTCTAACATTTCACCCTTCGCTTCAGAGAAGGACATGGACGACTTTAGAGGAAACGGGAGTCCCGAAATGCCTTTCTATCCCCGAGTGGTTTACCCCATCCGGGCCCCGCTGCCCGAAGACTTTCTGAAAGCATCCCTGGCCTATGGGATGGAGAGACCGACATACATCACTCACTCCCCCATCCCGTCTTCCACCACCCCAAGTCCCTCGGCAAGAAGCAGTCCCGACCAAAGCTTCAAAAGCTCCAGCCCTCACAGCAGCCCGGGGAACACCGTGTCCCCTGTGGCTCCCGGCCCCCAAGACCACCGGGATGCCTACACTTACTTGAACGCACCCTACGGCTCGGAGGGTTTGGGCTCTTACCCTGGATACGCGTCCCTGCCGCACCTCCCACCAGCCTTCATTCCCTCCTACAACGCCCATTACCCCAAGTTCCTCTTGCCCCCCTACGGCATGAATTGTAACGGCCTGAGTCCTGTGAGTAGCATGAACGGCATCAACAACTTTGGCCTCTTCCCGAGGCTGTGCCCCGTCTACAGTAACCTCCTGGGTGGAGGCAGCCTGCCTCACCCCATGCTCAACCCAGCATCTCTCCCAAGCTCGCTGCCCTCGGACGGGGCCCGGAGGTTGCTCCAGCCTGAGCATCCCAGGGATGTGCTGGTCCCGGCGCCCCGCAGTGCCTTCTCTCTCACCGGGGCCGCCGCCAGCCTGAAGGACAAGACCAGCAGCCCCACGAGTGGGTCTCCCACGGCGGGGACAGCCGCCATGGCGGAACACGTGGTGCAGCCCAAAGCTACCTCAGCAGCCATGGTGGCCCCCAGCAGCGACGAAGCCATGAATCTCATTAAAAACAAGAGGAACATGACTGGCTACAAGACCCTTCCCTACCCGCTGAAGAAGCAGAATGGCAAGATTAAGTACGAGTGCAACGTGTGCGCCAAGACTTTCGGCCAGCTCTCCAACCTGAAGGTAGGCCAAGAGGGAGTCTGGTGGTGGCGGGGCCCTGTGCTGTGGGTGCGTGGTTGTGATTGGACTCAGCCCACTTAGCGTGAGTTCTAAGTTGCATTTTGGCAGGGTGAGACCCGGGTCGGGGCACAGTCGGTGTAAATCCTGCTGCTCTTGTGCCACATCTAACTCTGTGGCTTTAGACAAGTTCCTCCACCTTTCCTGAGTTTCTTAATAATACAGATGTGTGGTTTGGGCTCAAAGATCAGTCTCTGGTAGCCTGGGATTCTTGCTTTCAACTCCAGCAAAACAAATTATTCTGGAAACACTGGGCTGGTTGGTTCTCTGGAAGGCTTGCTCCTGATGCTTTCCTTAAGATGTTTGCATCAGAAACACCTGAATCTCCAGGCAGAAATGCGAGGCCCCAGAACAGAGCTAACCCAGGCGGCTTCTTCCCAGGTCCACCTGAGAGTGCACAGCGGAGAACGGCCTTTCAAGTGTCAGACGTGCAACAAGGGCTTCACGCAGCTCGCACACCTGCAGAAACACTACCTGGTACACACGGGAGAAAAGCCACATGAATGCCAGGTGGGCAGTGCTTTCTGGGTAGACCTTTGTAAAAAATGTCTGTGGACTTGCCCTTGCATGTCACGTGGCCCCTAATTTAAGCCAACACAAGAATTCTGCCTTGGCCGACGGGCTGGTGACACTGGAGGCCTCCCCAGGGCTCTGTATCTGTTGACATGGTGATACAGCCAACTTCCAGTGGGTGGGGAAATGGTAGAGGAAATCCACAGCCCCTTGTGTGCTTAACACCACACCCGTAGGTGCCACAGGGAGGCTTCTGGCCTCCCAGGTTGCTGGGCATTGCCTGTAAGCTTGCCCCTTCTGTGGCAACTCCTAATCTTTTGGTCTTCTGTCTCCTTTCTCTTCCCTCCCTCCTCCCCACACCACAGGTCTGCCACAAACGATTCAGCAGCACCAGCAATCTCAAGACTCACCTGCGACTCCACTCTGGAGAGAAACCTTACCAGTGCAAGGTGTGCCCTGCCAAGTTCACCCAGTTCGTGCACCTGAAACTACACAAGCGTCTGCACACCCGGGAGCGACCCCACAAGTGTGCCCAGTGCCATAAGAGCTACATCCATCTCTGCAGCCTCAAGGTCCATCTGAAAGGGAACTGCCCTGTGGCCCCGGCTGCCGGGCTGCCCCTGGAGGACCTGACCCGAATCAACGAAGAGATCGAGAAGTTTGACATCAGCGACAATGCCGACCGGCTCGAGGACGTGGAGGATGACATCCACGTGATCTCTGTGGTGGAGAAGGAAATTCTGGCCGCGGTCAGAAAAGAGAAAGAAGAAACTGGCCTGAAAGTGTCTTTGCAAAGGAACATGGGGAACGGACTCCTGTCCTCAGGGTGTGGCTTTTATGAGTTATCAGACCTGCCCCTCGTGAAGGTGCCTCCCAGCAACCCACTACCTCTGGTACCTGTAAAGGTCAAACAAGAAACAGTCGAACCAATGGATCCTTAAGATTTTCAGATTTGTTTTTTTTCTTTTTGAAGTTATGACTTGGCGAGTCAGGGTGCCTGTAGCAAGTCACGTGTACAGAATTCCAGACCTGCAAAGCTCTCCTGACGGCACATGGTTTCACCTCTCTGGAATTCAAGAAGGAACTCCAAAGTTACTGAAATCTCAGGGCATGAACAAGGCAAAGACAATATACATATATATATATATATGTATATATATATATATATATATACATATTATATATACTTATTTACACAACGTCTATATATTTGAACCTGTGTATTTTGACTATTTGTGTGGCTATGTTGGCATAGCCTTTCCATTACTAAGACTATTACCTAGCCATAATTATTTTTTCAGTGGTAATCATTCATAATTTATTATATAGTTTATCATTCAAAAAGCAATAATTAAGGAAGTTTACAATGACTGGAAAGATTCCTTGTAATTTGAGTAGAAATGTTGTATTTTTGTCTTGTGGCCGTTATTTGTAGATAAGTTCTGCACATCTGTTTAAGTACCTAAGAGTTAGTAAACAAATGTATGACTCCAGTCAACCTCTCTCTAATAATGGTTAGAAAATGAGGTTTTGGTGTTGCCAAAGTGAGACAGTTGATGTGTTAGTTCATCGGGTTGTATCATTTGAGCTGCATTGTATATAACTTGGGGGTATGTGTGCAGAATTACCCAATAATAACTTGTTAAAAGAAGTGAGAAAGGGGGTTTTGTATTTTCTTGTTGGTAGTTCATATTTTTTCCCCAGCCATAATTTGACCGCAAGGTGACAGGTAGGCTTTGTCAATCTGTCTCTCCAAAAGGGCAGTGTCCTCCCACCCCATCCCCAAGGTCCTGTGACCATTCACAGTGGCCACATGACTTTGGCATCCCAATGTCTGATCTGAAAATGTGAAGAAGACAAAATGCCATGTTTAAAACCACTGCAAAATGTTCCCAGAGCACCGGTGGTTTTGTATGTGTGAGGTTCGGGGGCTTCAGTCTGGGTTTTGTTTTGTTGTTGGTTTACTTGTTTTTTTATGTCAAAATTGCACAAACATGGTGCTCTACCTAGAAGGATTTGAGGTAGACAGGCTCAGGCCACACTTGCAAAACAAAGAAAAACAAACAAACAAACAAAAAAAAACGGGTATTCTGGTCACCTTGGGGTAAAACGGGTAATGAACATTCCTATCCCCAACACATCAATTGTATTTTTTCTGTAAGACTCATTTTCCTCAGTATTTGTGTTTTTGCATTTTATGGTAATTTAAATTGAAGATGTAAGGGCATTGCAAAGTTGTTTGACAACAATTACCTCATTGAGTGTGTCCAGTCGTGCAGGAAATGTCTTATCTGATGATTTGCTACTCTCGAGGAGAAACCAAGTAAGTGTGCTCCAGAAAGATAGACTTTGTGTCACTCTATCTTTTACTCTGCTAAGCCCAAAGATTGCATGTTGGCGTTTAAGGTGTAGCAAAGAATGATGTATATTTATAAATCTATTTATACCACTATACCGTGTATATATATATAATATATTTATAACCACTTAAATTGTGAGCCAAGCCATGTAAAAGAACTTACTTTTCTTAAGGGCAAAAACAAAAAGCCCTTTCTGAGACTTTGCTTAATATTTGATGACCTCACAATCAAGTCGGTGTACTTGGGTACCGTACCCCTTGCCTATTGTAAGAGACCCTGAAACCTTGTTGCAAAGGAGGGGACCACATAGCAACCAGAAAGAAAGAGATACATTGTTTTTATCATTAAGGACCATCCAAGGCAGCTTAATTTTTGTTTTGTCACATTAGGATTATGTGGTCACACCCAAGTCACAGAAAGAGAAATCTTAATATGACTTCCTTTACCACTGTAACTTTTCTCTCTTCCTCTTCCTGAATATTGAAACATCACTAGTCAATCTATTTTATAACTATGCAGCATAATGTTCGTGTCAACTAATGTTCACCTGCAGAAGAGAACAAATTTCAAGTAATCCAGGGAAACCCAAGAGCCTTACTGATCTGTAACTAGCAAGACTGACAACTTTTTACATTTCAGTGTTTGGTAGACATAGTCCTTAATTGAGGGTAAACCAAAGCACCACATTGACATTGACACCAAATAATTTTTATTACCAACTACTCATTTGTTCCTTTTCTTCGTTTGTGCTTTCTTATATTGTATTGAGAATTTTTAGAGCGAATTCTTGCTTCTCTGTCCTTCCCTCTTTGGCCTCTTACATGTGAATGTTGAGCCCACAATCAACAGTGGTTTTTATTTTTTTCCTCTACTCAAAGTTAAAACTGACCAAAGTTACTGGCTTTTTACTTTGCTAGAACAACAGACTATCTTATGTTTACATACTGGTTTACATTGTTATTTATGTGCAAGTTGTCAAAATGTAAATTAAATATAAATGTTCATGCTTTACCAATGCTTGTCTAGTGTCTTGAGTGAAGGGCCAGCGGGTGGCATCTTACCCATATTCTAAGGGTGGCAGCAGTCCAAATTTTGAACAGGACACACTTTGCCTCTCTCCTCCACCCTCCCCCGTTCTGTTCCCTGCAGCACTAGCCGTGATGCCGCCGATCCCCTCCACCTCCCTTGGGACTATACTTGGGAGTGATAAAACAGCACTGGCCTGTTGTCTCATTGTAAGATTTTTCTTTAATTATGAGTCATAAAAATGTTCGCTAGGAAAAGCGTTTCACACATCATCCAGTAAGGGGGGAAGATCTGTTTGCTTTCGTGAACTTTTAAAAGATGGCAAGTGGGATGGTGAGGAGGTGTGGAAGACCGATGTCACTTCCAGAAATGCCTTCCTAGCTCAGGCAGGTACCTTTCCTTTCAGTCGCTAACATGGAGCAGGACACAAGAAGGCCCTCTTTTCCCCCTTCACATGTTAACCTGGGAAGTAGAGATGTGCCTTTAGAACACATTTCCAGAAAGCTGTTCGACCAGAATGTGGGTGTTGTTACCATGAAGCCCAGTGATCTTTGGGGGCTACAAATAGTTTGGTCTGGGCTTTAAGTGTACCCACCACCCCCACCTGTGCACATTGTACCTGAAAGGTCATTTTTTTTTTTTGCCCCCCTGCTCCCACTCCCTCCCCTTTCTGAGTCTCCAGTGTTCATTATACCAGCGGTCTCCAACGTATTTGGCATCAAGGACAGGTTTCATGGGAGACAATTTTTCTGCAGACTGGGAAGTGGGAGGAAGTCATTAGGCTTTAGATTCTCATCAGGACCGCACAACCTAGATGGCTTGCATGTGCAATTCACAAGAGGGTTCAAGCTCCCATGAGAATTTAATGCCAGCTGTGGATCTGACAACACTGAGCACAGGCAGTAATGCAAGCGAAGGGGAGCAGCTGTAAATACAGATGAGGTTTTGCTCTTCCTCCCGCTTCTCACCTCCCGCTGTGCAGCCCAGTTCCAAGCAGGCCACAGACCCGGTCCTTGGCCCAGGGGTTGCCTTTACACCATTCTCTATGTCTTTGCATATCATTAGTGAAACCCAGTGATCTTGGCAGCCTGATCACTAGGCCCCATGTGGTGGCAGTGAGTCTACCTGCTGAGCCCTTGGTGCTCCAGAAACAAACTGTCTCCAGAGAAAAGGCACACATGCATTTGAACCTCGTTTGATAGATGTAAGCAGGAGATGCTGCTAGAAAAGTGACAGTGCCCTCAGTGGGAAAAAAAACCCAAAATCTAAAAACCCTTTGCAAATGGTTTTCATGCGTCCCATTTCATCCATGACCAAGTTTATGGTTTCATGCTAACTGCATGTCAAGAAAATAATGTTCCTTCTCACATGTGGACACTCAGAACTGCCCGATGTTTTGGTTTTTTTTCTTTAATGTCTCTTCTTTAAATTCACTTAAACATCTGTGCCAAGAATTTGAAATGCTGCCAATATGTAACTGTGGAGTTAAGAAAACCAGAACCCTATTGTCATAAACGTGCCAAATGGTGCTGGTTATGCTCCTAAATTCTATAGAACCATTGTGGTAGTAATTTTTCAAAACAAAGCCCAATAAGATCCAGAGTGCAACAGTGAACTACCATAAATCATAGTTCTTGGCTTGGCAAATCATGTCTTTTTTTTCTTGAGAGTTATATATCTTGGGAACACTTGTGGGCTTAGCTGTTTAATGAAACATTACATGAAAAGATAATACTCACTGAGTCCAAGTTCACCAGCCAAAGTCCATGCTTTTGGATTGAGACTTTCTGCAGCTGCTTATAGGACGAAGCAAGACTGAAGAAGTCACTTTTTTTTTTGGTAGTCTTTAGTTTTTCTTTAGCAAAATAAAAGCTCTGTGTAGAAATGATGCATTTAACTCCCACCGTAAGGCAGTATTTAGATTATATAGTACCATGGGAGTTTGTGGGCACATTTTTACATTTTTTTCCCCTTGGGAGAAATGAAATCAATTTAGGGCCCATAAGTTGGTATAAATGAGCTTATTCCTGTGTGTGTGTGTGTGTGTGTGTGTGTGTGTGTGTGTGTGTGTGTGTGATGCCTTCTCTAAATGAAGATTGTGTGTGTGTGTGTGTGTGTGTGTCTGTGTGTGTGTAAAGACCAAAACAGAGAAATGAAAATAATTAGTGGCAAATGGCAGAGAATTTGTAAGGCAAAAGTGGGCCACTAGAATAATCTGGTCCAGCAAGGAAGGCTGTACCAAGAGGACAACAGCCAAAAGAAGTGATGAATCAGAGAACAGTTAGAAGTGATCACGGAGTCAATCCAGAAGACATTTTTATTTCCTTTAAGAGATCATCGACTTCTTTGTCCATATCATCTCATTTGATTCTCAGCTTCTGGCCAGAAGGAATCAGATCATGATACACACTGGCTACCTCTTGGGAGTCTACATTTCTTGTAGTCTACAGTGACTACAAGAAATGTTCCAGGGCCCATGGATAAACCTCCCTCAAATCCTTTTTCAAGCTTCAAGTCCTCAGAAGCCAAGCTCATTTGCTCAGAGTGCTGCTGACATCTGCTTCTTAAATAAGTGAGAAGGGATTTTAATCTCAATACAGCCTTAATCGTGTAATTCAGGCAAAAATGAAGCAAGATTCCGAAGAGTTATTTTTAACTGGATTTATACAAATTCTTCCCATTCCCCCTTTTCGCAGAATACCATAACAAACTCTCTGCAGTCTGCTCCCCTTCCAGGTTTGACAAGTAGGGAAGCAGAGTTGACCATGTGCACATTTCTTTCTCTCTGAATTTAAGACAGAGGGTTGTATTCAGCATAAACAAGAACATAGTCATCTTGTGATTTTCCCCTACCCCCTCCAAGATAGAAAGAAGTGTCAGATGAGTAGCAATGGGTAATTTTGCCAAGAAATCCTTCGGTGTGTTAACAAAAGGGGGTTGTTCTCATGGAATTATGGCCAAGCTTCCCAATTTTGGGTATCAAGATTCACCTGTGGATGATGTCAACCAGCTGTGCTCCATTGTGGGTGAGAAGCAGAGCAGAGAAAATGAAATCAAACCGTAGCAGAAAAGACTTTGGTATACATCACCAAGACTAATGCCAGTCTTTAGAATTTGTGACACAATGGATTCCTCCCCATAGGAGGAAGTGGAGTCTCCTTCCTTGCTGGGCTTAGGGAGGAGTCAGCTTATTTGGAAGCACAGGATGAACAAGATGCACTGGCACGCCCTCCCCACATCTACAACTCAAGGATTTCTGTCAGTCTTATGCATGATCATGTGCTAGGTAGGACAAGATGGATTAAGGGTTTGTTAGCAAATCAATTTCTTTAATATTCCTGTGGCCTCCCCAGGAAATGTTATACATACATAGATTTAGACAGATCTGGAGAGTATGTCTAATTCTTAAAAAGAGTTTATGATATCATAAAATGAACTATGCAGTGTACTATGTAAAATATTTTATATTGTTTTTTAAATTTTTTGTAGTGACAGGGTCTACATATACTGTCCAGTCTAGTCTTGAACTCCTGACCTCAAGGAATCCTGCTGTCTCAGTCTCTCAAAGTGCTGGGATTACAGACCTGAGCCACCCTGCTCAGCCTGTGTAAAATATTTTTTAAATAGTTCATACCTGAGTTCCCAGGGATTCTGAAAGAGGTTGGAAAGTGAGACACAGTACCACTATCACCTGGCATCGCACTCCGTAAAACAAACTCCAGGCTAGTCACCTTTCAGGGCAACCATTATTAGGAAGAGAAGGGGCCATCTCTGCCTTCCCGTGTCCCCTTAGCACTACTTCCCTCGAGGGCTATTTTCCATCCACACAAAGGAAGGGAGACAGACACACCCTTGTCCTCTTCCACAGAACCCTTTGTTGCCTCTACATTTTTAGAATGAGTAACTCAATGGTGATTTGCTGTAAGACCGACCAACTAAGGGTCATCCATGGGGCCACTTCCTCTTTCTTCCATGGCTCTCAAGAGAGTCTGAAAAGACACTCTAGGTGGGAACTAGAATTATGAGCTCCTGTCCTCACAGAGAAAACAGTGACTGGGAGTCCAGAGGCTTGGTTGCAGCCCTGGGTCAGCCCCTGGCCGACTGTGTGCTCTCGGGAAAGTTCAGCCCTTGTTACTGTGTGCTCTTGGGGAAGTCTGGGAACCTCCATTTCCCGATCCTCAAAATGAAGGGATCATTCTTGGATGATCTTCTCGCTCTTTCAGAAATATTACCTCTCTTAAGATGCTAAGATTCAGGCCGGGTTCGGTGGCTCAGCCTGCAATCCCAGCGCTTTGGGAGGCCAAGGTGAGTGGATTGCCTGAGCCTGAGGGTTCGAGACCCGCCTGGGCAACTTGGTGAGACCTCATCTCTACAATAAATCAAAAATTAGCCGGGTGTGGTAGCGCGCACTTATAGTTCCAGCTACTTGGAAGGCTGAGGCGGAAGGATCACCGGAGCCCAGCAGGTCGAGGTTCCAGTGGCCGGGAGTGGCCACTGCACCCAGTATGGGTGACAGAGTGAGACTCCAACTCAAAAAAAAAAAAAGATGCTAAGATTCCACCGTTTTCTCTTACTTCCTTTTGGTTTGTTTTCCTTGGAACTCTGATTGCTGCTATAGGCAGATATTTGTAATTTAGAGAGCAGATATCAGAGAAAATGAAAATGAGGGGCAAGCCTGTGTGGAAAGCAACTATTGTGGCTTCTTTTGGCAAAAGTGAGTGGGCTTACAAAGGTCCTGCTAATTTGTGAGAACTATGAACTTTCCCCAGAAATTAATATGCTCATCTGAAAGGAATCAAAGTCCTTTTCGTGGAAATAATGAGTTGTGCTTAAATCAAACTTCTGCTTAAGTACCATGAATTCTAGGATGTTTAGTTTAGTGGGTTTTTGTTTTTTCTTCTTCATCTTTTTTTTTTTTTTAAAGCAAAGGCCTACTTGTAAGATGACTGAGAAAGATTGAAGTTTGTTGCCAAAGGAGGCCAAAATTAT